GAGAAACGATAAACACGTACGAAAAGATTGACAGAAGTTCATACGGGGAGTTCGGACACCCAAAAGCTGCTATGCGAAGGTCCATTTTAGCGAAATTCGATCCAGCTAAGCCAACGGTAATCGAATGCGACGCGAGCAAAGAAGGAATTGGAGCAGCTATCACAAGAAGGTCATCCAATTGCCTATGCGAGCCGCGTCTACATGGAGCTGAACGGAACTACGGTGTAACTGAATGGGAGTGTTCGCGGTCGTGTTCGCCGTCAGGAAGTTCAAATCGTACATCGATTACTCCGAGTTCACCGTACGAACGGATCATCAAGCATTAACGAAACTTGCTGAGATCGAAACGAATAAAGTTGGCATGAATCCGCGACTCACGAGATGGGCGATGGCATTACAAGGTCATCAGTTCAAGATCGAGTACAAACCGAAAGTACTGCGACAACGCGGATGCATTATCGAGGGCACCAATCGAAGGCCCGACATGCCACGATGAAGAATTTGATGAGATTCCGAACTTCGAAGATATAAAAAAAGAGTATGACATAAAAAAGAACCGGCAGTTGAAGTGGCAGCTGTTCGTACAGATGGTCGACGAACGAGAGAAGCGGATAAAAGATGATCCGGCTACGGCGAATGAGCCGGCTGAATCAACGATTAACGTTAACCGTATACGAGCTTTAAAATGAATGCCCGATCAAACTGCTGAGATTCCCAAAAAGAAGGATAACCGATAAACTGTTACCGCGATGCAAAGTCATCACGGACTGGAACGATCTCAGCACCGCAACTGTTCGCATCGTCAACTTGCAAGGAGATGAGGAAGAAGAGGATGACTCGAACTTGCAGCCCGAAATAAGCAGCTGAAAGATCCTCACCTTGCAATGATCATCGATGAACTCGAACATTTAGCAGATGCCCAAACGAGATCGAAGTTCGAAGTTCATTACCAGCTGTGGAATGGAATCTTGTACCGAATAAAAGACAACAAAGGGAGATTAGAAAGGTCATACGTCGTACCACTGTCAATGAGACGAGCGATCATCCATGCGATGCATGATGAGCAGCAGGTCATCTTGGATATGAAAAAGACGCTAGCAGCAATAAGACTGCGATATTATTGGGACAGAATGAGTACGGACGTTAAGAATTATATACTCGCATGCGTCAGGGATGTCAGTTCACCAAGACACCGAGGAAATGCCCACCTGGAAAGCTGCAAGAAATTAAAGTGGACATCCTTTCTTCCGAGTATATGCCGATCTGAAAGGACCCTTATTGCCAACGAAGAAACGAGGATACAAGTATATCGCGGTGTTCATCGACCGCTGACGAAGTATGTGATAGCAGTACCGATGAAGACGGCAACAGCGAAGGAATTTGCCAAAGTCTTCGTAAAACATGTGATATTGGTACATGGAGCACCGCATATCTTACATACGGATCGTGGAAAGCACTTCACAGCGGAAGTTCTATCGAAAGTCACCAACGTTTAAGATTAAACACACGTTCGGAACGGCATATCACCCTGAAGGCCAGGGCCAAGTCGAACGGCAGATGCAGATCATCGGAGATGGACTGGCACAGTATATGAAAGCGGGAAACGAGCGGAATTCAACAAATACCTCCCGTATGTGGTATCAGGATGAATAGAGTGATACATGCCACAACCGGCTACTCGGCATATTACATGCTACATGGAAGAGAGATGACTATGCCAGAGGATGTGGTGACAAAAACGAACTTACAGATGATTATGGTACTCCAGACGAATGGGTGGAGACCATGAAAAGAATCTGATATTCGCTGAGGAAGTTGCCAGATGCAACATAAAAAAGATGCATATGAGAAGAATGCTGAGATTTATAACAAGAAGAAATCGGAACATTCTCAAAATCGGCGACTTCGTACTTATCCGACTTCCCAAAGATACGAAACAAGGGAAAAAGGAAGTTCAATCGGATTTAAAAAAGAAGTACGATAAAGTATGGAAAATCCTCAGCTTTCCACGACCGAACGAAGTTGAAGTCATCGAAATGAACCCGATAAAAGAAGCTGATTTGAAAGTCGTTTCCATCGATCGATTAAAGCCATGGCATCCACCTTTAACGGAAGAACGAGAGGATAAAGAAGGAATACCAGAGCGTGAACCACGATCTGCTACCGAGTGATGAGACGGAGACCGAAGCAGAGCGCTTTCTCAAACCACCTCTGCTACATAGAGAGGAGGTGATGATAGCAGACCGTCATTCGAACAGAGTTCCCAAACCACGCCCAATGCTACCTGAACCATCGGACATAACAGAGATGAAGAAAAAGAAACGAGGAAGATCGAAGAAACAGGATAAGGATTTTGAAACGGCAGTCACTATCAAGCTGAGCGAACAGGCCGGGATTTAACGGAAGCAGACGGGGTAACAGAGTGAGTTCGCAAAAGATTCCAAACCGATGTGCTGGGTCTTTTTTCCGAACCACGCACTGCTACCGATCAGTCGAAAGGACTGAACTAACAGAGCATGAGATGAAAAGCTCTGGTAGGCAACAGCAGCTTGAAGCAGTGAAAGCAACAGCTGCACAGCTGGCAACGACATTGCTGCTGCTATCGAGCAAAGGAAGGTCAAAAAGACAAAGTCGAAACCCACTCCTACGGAATTCCTAACGCGACAAGGAGCTGATGAAGATGCCGCCGATACGGACTCCTTGATCGGATAACTAAAGGGCGCGAAAAAACACAAAATAATATTTAAAAAGGGCGTTATGATGCATGCACAGGAGTTGGGAAGGTGTAAAAGCTAACCGTTGTTAATTGGCTAACAGATATCGTTTCATTGTTATAGCAGGTAATAAAAGTTAATGGAAAGGTTGAACGGCAAATTCAGAGAATTCCGACTCGGAAAGCATCGGAAATCCGTTAAAAGCATCGACGCCGATAAGAATGGAAGGCGATCGTAGCCAAGGCACTTATTACGGAAACAAGTCCACATCGTCTGCAGGAACGGCGCAGAACGAACCGACAGGAGACCAAACAGTCTACGCGGCCGGCGTCCAGGCATACTATCCGTACCAGGACCCTACGAATTATCAGAGTACACAGAATTGGTTGACCAGGCCATCCGGCCGGACCAACTCAATATCCGGTACAAAACGATCCATTTCAAATGTTTCCTGGAACACAGACTCCACCGATGTATGGATCTGTGCAAATGCCGATGGGACCACCGCCAGTACCCAGTTTTCCGACGGACATGGTGGATTTGGCCGGATGTCATCCACACCTGTCCGACATGGGGACTTGGCGGAATGTCAGCGTCGCCTATCCGACATCACGGATTGAGGCCCAATGTCAGCACCAGTTCGACATAAGGGGCAATTGGCGGATCGCCGCCAGGATCGGTGCGCGGCGGAAGGGCGCCAGCACCATCTTTCCCATCATTGTTTCCCCCGAACGGAGTGAGACACCACCTATGAGGACACCTCACTCCGTTTTAACCGATTCGAACAGACGATCTCCGAACCAAAGAGGCGGAAGATCGCGACATGGAAATCGCAATTCACCTCGACCACGAGGAATGCTACCCCCATTAGGCCCACAGATGGAAACGATGACAATAAGTCCTCCAGGTTCACCTTCCAGATATGTACCAAGATTGGCGGTGAACGTGAGCGAAGAAGATGATCGGCTCAACATGATTGTAGGAGCGGAGGAAGAGCTCACCGCAGATGACCGGAGGGCTATCCATAACTTTAACCGTCTATGTCGGGACTTCTATCGGATGCGTGAAAGGGTGAACGATGAGCAACTCCTCTACGGATGTATGATAGAGCAGATGGCCGTAACCGACTCGGGACACAGTGCTTAAGGATCGGAAAAAGAAGGTTCAGGAAGCACGGACAGACCTCGGAATCAGAGTTGCCACGATGAAAACATATCATCAAGCGTTAATAAACAGGCCGTGGCCAGAAATGATTGAAAAAATTCTGAGATGGATCGAAAAGTTTCCCGAAGAAGTTGCACAGCCCGAGCCAATTGTAGCCGGCCCATCACAGATGCAACCTGCGACGAGTGGCGCACCTAAACCTGGTACATCAATTGCGAAGCCAGTTGAAGAGATGACATATGCGGACTTAAAAGAACAGAAGAAACGAATTGACGAAGCTATCGAGCAAAGAGCGAGATCACGAGAAAGTTCAACGGCAGATTCATCTCGTAGTAGCGTCAAACGGAACAGATCGCAGACGACAAGTTCTAAATCAACGGAGAAGGGACATCAGACTAAAAAGTTGACGGCGAGTAAGGAACCGCCGAAAGAAAAAGAGATGCCGGTACCAGTGAAGCCCACGGCGAGTAAGGCACCGCCGAAGGCGCAAGAGACGTCGGTAGTTCCGGTGACACCCTCGGTGAGTAAGGAACCACCGAAGGAACAACAAATCGCTGTACTGGCAGGGAAAAGTTTGACCCAACTGCCACACCACCACCGGCAAGAACTCCGATGATCATACCACAGGTCCGGGCATATACGGCGACATATTCGAGATCAGAAGGACTTCCGTACAAGGTTACTGCCCAGCTTATCGATAAGGACACGAAAAGAGGGATATTCCCTCATATCATCCTACTACACCGACAGAAATCAGAAACCAGATCACCAAACAGTCGAGAGATGAGGTGCAGGGGCGCTACTTAAGATCAGACGCGAGGAAGATCGCGCGGGATCCACGAATCCTCATTCAGATGTTAAGACAACTGATCACGCCAATAGCCGTGAAAGAGAAAGCTTGGATCTGTATACGAGTGGGAACACACGACGACCACTTTGCGTACATGTACGCAACCGATGGAGCGATGTTAGCAGTTGAGCGACATCGATTGAAAGAGGATCGAGTCAGATGGTAAAAGGAAGCCGAAAGAGGCATATGATACGACCTTACTTGTACCAGGAAATGACCTGTCGAGTCTTCAAATTGGGACTCCACTGTACGGTCGGATTGCCCATCGTGATGATCGCCGAAGTTGTCGATCCTATATCAGGAGATCCCGTCCCATTTGCACCTTGGTTCATATCGAAAGAAGAGAAGGAATATGCTATCATGGAGAATGAAAAAGCACTGGCGAATCTGTACAATATGTTGCCTGAGGACAAGAAAAAGATGTTCAAGCCAACAGAAATGGAATTCTGAACATCATGAGTCATAGAGCCGCCGACGACGGAGCCTATGTTAGGGTGACAGTTACATACACTGACGATGGCCAACTTCGTACGAGTCTACACACCGCATTATGAGTTGGTCTACGATGGAAACTCCGAAGAAGCATCACGGCAGCGGCCGAAATACATGAAATTTATGTCAAGTCCAAACAGGCAGAAGAGGAAGGTCTTGCCGGTGAAGGTGAATATGAAGAACAGATGGAAGCCGAAGACGCTCCATCAGGCGAAAATGCCCTCAGATGGAAGATGAACCAGTTGATGAAAATAACCCGAGACGATCGATGCAACGAGCGATCGCGATCATCCAAGGAGCAGATCACAAGGTATGTAACGATGAACTGCGATCGATGTCACCCACCTGAGGAATCCGAAACTGACGGAGATGAAGATGATGAGGAGGATACGGTTCAGGAAGACTCAGAAGACGATGATCCAGCGCCAAGATCGTCCAAGGACGAATCCAAATCGAAATCGTCTAAAGAGGAGTCGAAACCAAGCTCATCTAAAACTGACACAAAATCAAAAAAGTCGGAGAAATCAGACAAAGGGACTGATGAACCCGGAAAGACGGGTACGGAAAAGTCGAGAGGGAAATCACAGAAAGATCAGAAACAAAAAGCGGGAAAAAGGAAGGACCATTCCCCATCTGACGATGAAGATATCGTGAGCGAGGAATCAGAAGAGGATGATGAAGTCCTCGAAATTGACGAGAGCTTGAAATCGTCGACGACCACACCGAAAAAGGGTGTTATACAATCAGCAACCTCGCCGGAAGAAAAACCGAAATCTATCGCGATAAAGAGGGCGATCAATATGGGAGAGATTATGGCAGCGTCGACTCAAAAAGAACGCAGAGAGAAGGCGCAGAAGGAAAAAGGAAACGTGACATCCCGCGAGTCGACAGCATCAGAGGCAAGTCGTCCAAGTACATCGACGGTCGCTTCGAAGTCGAAGCCCAACATTCGATTCGGCCACATGAAGTCAGACGGGAGAGCCGGAAGGTGGCACCCAACAGTCTGGAAGCGACTCTGGAAAACAGAAACAAGTGTTACGTGCTTTTTCTAAGGTGGAATACGCGGATGTAAAGTAGCTTTATTGATAGAAATAAGCCAGATGTTAACTAGTTGAGCCTGATAAAGCTAAAGAAAGATACAGTAGCAAGCCGGTTTTATACCGAGCTGCTGGTAAGAAACTGTATAAATAGAACATTGTAGGTGGAACTAAAGTAAGTGTAACAGAAGTACATAAAAGGATACAGTACATATAAGGAGATAGTAATTATAGATATAGTACGCATAGTACTTATGTAATGTACTCGTAACATTCCTCCTTAAAAACAAAATCGTCCTCGATTTTAATTAGTAATAAAAGATCAAGAATAAAAAAGAAAGGTAAAAATTAATGCTGAATACGTGGGAGTCCATTGCGTTGTAGGCGGACTTCGGTTAGGCAAGAGTTCTGATCCGGTATAACGGGTGGTCCAATTTTGGCTTCTGTTTCATGGTTTCTCACTGTTCAGGTTCCATCCTGGTTTTCTTGATTAGTTCGGGCGAAATTTTCATTTGCTCTTTGGATCGCCTCAGGGGAATAACGCGGCGATTGGGCGAACCAGTCGTGTGCTGGCATTAACGTTAATACGTGGTGAATGAACACATGCTGATAAGTCGTCATTCGAGACGTTGGTAAAACCACATTCGCAAATACCAAAATGGTATTGAACTGTTCGACGTTCAGAGTGTCGATATCGTGACAAATTGTTATGTCTCGGCTCGATGCACAGATTTAGATGAATATATTCGTAATTGCGTGCAGTAGATCAAAGGCGGCTATCAAAATTAACTGGCGGCATGTTAGAAAATAAACCGAAAATGAAAACAGATATTATTTTATCGGTATATTTACCGAGCGAATTTAAACTTTCGTATGTTAAATTGAAAAGGTTATAACAGTACTGTGCTGTCATGCGCGCTAAAATCAAAACGAAAAAAGTAAACGAGCTCAAACTTGTTGACTTGAAAAGATTTAAATACTAGCAGCATCAGGAAATTGTGCTATAATTTACGCGTATAAGGGTGCACTAGTGAATGCAACTTTGACTGACGGTGCACTGTTGGCAATTGCTTTAAAATCTCTCAAAATTTGTGGATTGGCCAGATAAATATATATCAAATCTGATTTTAAAGGAAAGAGAGAAATAATTTTCAGAATGTTTTCAGAAGGAGGATCGCTTAACTTCGTACGACTCTAACGCACGTTACAGCTTCAGAGAATGGAGGATGCCGGTTACCATATAAGGAAGCGTTTCGATCAGTATTACAGGAGGCATACACAGGCACAGTGGTCCCACGCACTGCGCTGAGCATAAAGGGACGGCCTCAAATAAACTGAATTCAGAGATGATGAGATGCGGCGGCATATAAGAGCAGAGAGCGCAAGGGAATAAAGAGCAAGATAGTAACAGACTGACAGCCTTCACGTATAGTGGATACTGCTTCACTTGGACTAAAAGGAGTGTACGGCATTCAAATTTCAAGAGCGATCTGTTTTAATATTCATCTTCGTCGACGGATTACAAACTTCAATCAGTCAGCACCGCTTTGGCCAGTATAGTAAATTTTAAAGACGTCGTACTGATGCGCAGAATTTATAGAGGAACGTTTCAAATGCAATATGCGGTTACTCGGTACCGGTAAGAAATATTTTATTGACAATAATAAGTAAATAAACTGCAGTGCGGTATATAGAGACCGATAGCTGCTTGGGATAGCAATTGCTAAAGACATAAGGAAAATATTTATAACAATTTTTCGCATAGAAAACGTATGCGGCATATCTGCCTCTTAAGTACAGAGACAATGCTGTACTATTACTGTAATAAAATTTAAAGTAAATTATGCATGCTGTGCTGACAAAAACAGATAATAAGAAATGGAAGAAATACAGATCACTTCAACAGTACTTGAAAGAACGTAAGGAAAACGATATCAAAAACTCGACGATCGATAATCATATTCGAAGCGATAATAATAATGTTAATTAATTTGTCCGTAAATTCCACTAAAGACGGTAGATATGGTATTTACGAGTGTTTATGCTCGCTTCTCATGCTGCTCTTCCCTCCTTGCGGAATATTGATGTTGCGCATTAACAGAAATTAGAATAAATCGAATGAATTATAGTAGCTGCACAACGGTTTAATTAATTATCGAAAATTGCAGATGTTAATAAAATAAGATAAACACGGTGCACAGAATTCCGTAATACAAAATGTGATTTACGGACGATGTAACGAGGTTCGAATAAATTATTTTAGTGCTGCAGATAACGCAAAAGAAAGTAAAGGAAAGATAGCGAATAATGATTTGCCATATTTAGGCAGCAGTAATTTCTTTTTGAACAAAGGTGAAGAACATAATAATGCTGCTAATATTTTTTTTTTAAAGAGATTTTTGTTAGACAGAATTTCCCAGCATTAAAAACCCTGCGATATTTACCAAGGACACGGTTGCACGCAGTATATTAGAATCATCCTGGGTGGCGGCATACAGCACATACATACGCTGAAATTATACAAAGAATGCCGGATTTACGCAATATGTGATCCTTTCTCCTCCCTGGTATCGATAAACTCATCGGTGAAATAGCGTCATAGGGATACACTGATAAACGAAATAACAGTCTTCACAGTATATAGAACTTTAGGAAAGGTCAGGGGCATAAAATGAATTAATTAATATAGGTGGAAAAATAAAGGTCATGGGCACTCCGTGTTAGTTAGCAAAATAACCAACAAAACCTGGAGCCACCAAGTTGTTACATGTGCTTTTTCTAAGGTGGAATACGCGGATGTAAAAAAAGTAGCTTATTGATAGAAATAAGCCAGATGTTATTAGCTAGTTGAGCCTGATGTAAAGCTAAAGAAAAGATACAGTAGCAACTGTTTTATACCGAGCTGCTGGTAAGAACTGTATAAATAGAACATTGTAGGTGGAACTAAAGTAAGTGTAACAGAAGTACATAAAAGGATACAGTACATATAAGGAGATAGTAATTATAGATATAGTGTACGTATAGTACTTATGTAATGTACTCGTAACACAAGCAGCCTTGGAAAAACAGAAGAAAAGCGCCAAAAAGAAGAGCACTAAGAAGAAGGCTAAACCTGCGGCAGTTCGACGTATCGATGAAGTCGGACTAGCACAATATACCAGAAGACAGGGTAATAGCGACTTGGAATACTCTGAACCAGAGGACGATAAACCATTTCCCGATTTCGAAGAATTGGGAGACGATGATGACACGTTGACGCCAGATGAGCTGATCGCGGCTACAAATTACATCATGTCTACGTTCCGCACACGAGGTGACACCTCAGTAACAGTGAGATTCCGTCAACGCGCAAAGACTTGGTTAAACGATAACAATCGCCGTCTTACTCCTTCAAAGTTGGATACGATAATTGATTTTGCCCTGAATACGGGCAGGGTGGTCAAGAAACATCTCGACTGGAGCTAAGTCGAAGTTGATCAGAACAGGCGGAATCGACAAAACGCTGTTCGAGGAACATGCCAATAAGAGGAGGCAGATTGAAGTGGCTATAGCAGGCTTGCGAAGTCCAGTTGGATCTACCCGACATCGCATTAGCCAATATATGAATGGATTATGGCAAGGTGGATCGGGTATGATTGGTGAAATAGAGGCGGGCACGAGACGATGTTAACACAGATGCTTCAAGAGGGTAAACTCTCACCACCAACGCTTATGAAGGATCTCCGATCAGATATACCTTGTTGGGTTTTATACCGGAGGAAATACAGATTACTGTAATTTCTCATCTAGCGAAGTGATGGAAAACTCCCAATTCCTCAGCGCAACGATCCAGAAACTCCCATGCTGAATGTGATCTTACAGAAGGGAGATCAGAAACGGGCTGCCAAGGAAAAGATCAAGGCAGATAAGTTGAAGAAGTCGCTAACGCCGAGCGACATTATGGGACTAGATTACGAATCGGATAATGAACCAGAACAAGATCCACCCACAACGTCGGGACAAGCAGCCACAACGAGCCAACAGTCACATGGTGAGAAAACGAAAGCCGTAACTCTCATGGATAAGCTGACGGCACAAACCGAAGCGGAATTGGAAGAAATGCGCCGTCGTCAACAACAGGCACCGCTGTTGCCAACATCGAAGCAAGCAAAAACTAGTGGCGGCAAATCGAAAACCGATCTAACCTCCCAAGAAGAGGGAGTAGCAGCTGAAGAAACATCGAAGGATGATGAGACGGACTCAGCTCCCACCCAGAGAAACGAACCCAAATCGACGAAGTCCTCATCAAGCTCGATTCTAAAGCCAATCGATGAAAAGAATCGACGTCAGAAGATCGCGACTACATGCTCGGAATACCACTGGATAATCAGAACCACGCTTGGTGCGAACTGAAGAGCATCTTGGCTAAACAGCCATTCCAGACGATGAGTCAAAAGGATCTCAAGGCGACAATCTGTGCCAACCGAGTCCTGAAATTATCCGGTGTGAGCTTTGACAGAATGACCAAGAGGGCCTACGAAGGAAAGGGCTTTGTTACTCGGATTCCAACAGATGGTCATATTACCTCCCAAAACCAACGCTTCACCCTCGACTGAAGATGGAACTGAAATATTGGAAAATCGCCATTACCGATGCGGCAATGCCGAGACTTGGCGGATCGATGGGAGTCACATGGGATGACCTATCAAACTTCTTTGCCGTTAACTACGAGCTGGGAATTTACAACATCGAAAGAGATCGGGATGTAATCAGACAAGCAGTGGAAAGTCTTCTCGATGATAATCTCCTTGAGATTAAAAACAAGCGAATTTATTCGAAACCCGAGGAGCTCCCCGAAGATACTCCAGAGAAGGAGATCGTGGACTCGGCGAACATTCCGGCATCCCAGGAACATCCGGCATCCGCCGAGCCCGCAGCTGGCGATGCTCAAACGAAATCAGCTGAAACTGGGGATACGGTGTCAGCAGCGACTGAAACAGTGGAGTCGGCTGACACATCAGCAAAAGAGTGAACGCGAGATGCGTGATATGCGGTCAGGAAGGTCCACCGCATATCACAGAAGAAACAGCATCATATCAGTTTAACGAAAGCGAAAAGTTGAAATAACCGAGATGAAAAACGTTGAAAACGGATGGTTGAAATGACTTAGCGAATGTGCTAAACGAGATGCGAAGATGAGATGACCACATCAGTCAAACAGGCGAATGAGCTTAGAACTGATAACATGGAAAGGTCACCATGTCACAGTGTTAAAAATGTCATTATGAGCTAGGAAGGTCAGATACTAAAATAGGCGTAAAAGATGATAAGAATGATCGGGAGATGGTTACGAGATGATATTTGACATGCCTTAACATTGCAGATTAAAACCGAAGATGGCGGAAAAGGCCCGACCAACCGAACATTCAAGCGGCGGCACCGGCGGTGAGAAGTCAAGCAGCACCAGCAGCAGCCGCGAGTAACCAAGCCCGATCCACAAATGGAAAAACCAAGCAGCACCGACATCTACGCGAAGTCAGGTGGCACCGTCCACAAGACAGGCAGCACCTGCGTCTCAAGGCAGTCAACCGGCAGTTGCGAAGAATCAAGTCGCACCTACGAACGTGCGAAGTCAACCGGCACCCCCGCGATCTCAACTTGCGACCGCACCTGCCGCAAACCAGCCAAAACCGTGGATTGATCCGTTTACGGGCTATAATTCTAAATGTCCGGACTACCAGAAACATCAAGGTTGAAAAGGAGATTACCCTTGTTGGTTCTGCATCTTTAAGGAACCAAATCGAACTTTAGTGGCATACACCGAAGCTATTCGCGGAATAAAGATGTTTTCGAGCCATAACATCAGCAGAGGCATGGAAGACAGTTCCACCACGAGAAAGATGTTGATCGAAGATCGATATCGAGAGGCGATTAAGAATGGCGAGATCGGTTGGGATGCCACTTATGATCCTCCTCAAGATGATCTATGATGCCTGCAAAAAGTTCGAAGCGGATCAGGCAAAGATGATGGAGGAAAAACGGCAGAAAGATCTGGCAGACGAAACGATAGCCAATAGGAGACGTGCCGAACAACGGGCAGCCCAGGATTACCGAGAAAGGTCGGTGCAGGGCAAAGCTCCTATTCCTGTGGCTCAATTGAATGCAGCCGAAGCGGAGGTTAGAGTGAAGGCCATTCTCCTCCAGATCGATGAATTAATTAAGGAACCGTCAAAGATCCGCGCAAGCACATTCGAACTCCTCTTACGAGAAAAGATGAGGTTGGAAAGAGGCGAAGTACTTAAACCCGATACCAAGATGCTCATCGAAAAGATGACCGAGGAGGTTCGAAAGACACATGAAATGGAACGAGATGTTATGAAGGCGTTTCAAAGTTTTCGGCGCGATGACGGTTTCCAACGACCTCGATCACCAGTGAGACGGGAACATCAAAGATCACGAGAGTACTCACATGAGCGAAATTATGACTCTCGGAATGAACGGTCAAGAGAACGTTCCCGCGAACGCACCCAAGACTATCATAACGAAAGAGATGATAGATCACGCTCGCGAGACTATGATTATCGTGGCGGCAGATCCTGGGTGCGACACGGAGATCAAGTGATCGAGACCAGCGCACATCGTCGACATGAACCGGTCGACAGACGAAGAGACGAAACGCGCCAAGAGGAACCACGTCAACAAGTACCGATGGGAGTTGGTTTCTTGCCACCCGAAAGTCAGAGGGTTCACACCGGAACGACGAGAAGGAACCTTAGCGGGACCTGCCCGAAGTCGCAGTCCATACGACAAGGGATGGCAGGATGATATGAATTATTTCGCAAGTTTCCCGATCAATCATAAACGAACTTCGAGTGGGGAACGTGATGATACTCCACCGAAACAGCCGAAAGTGAAATCAGTGGTCCATATGGTAGAACCATTGATTGTGACGATGGATGAAGATGAACCGATGGAGACATCGTCGGTTGATAACGTCGTTCATAAACGGAACGTTGTATTAGATCGCGATCTTGAACCATCGACATCGGCGCGACGTGAGCAGGAAGGCCCTCACGAATCGCAGAATCGCCGGCAAGAACCGCAGAACCGACATCAACCGGAACATCAACAGGAACGCCCTGAACGACGACGCGAAGATGGTCACCGAAGAGATCACTCGCGTTTTGACAATTCGCGACGCAGGTTGATCAGCAAAATGTATGACATGGATGATATCGAAACCCAAAGAGCGGAAATCTGTCGCTACTTTGGACTGGAAATTGAATCGGAACAGTCAGTGATGATACATGCGCAGCTCCACAATCTACGCGAATTTCTACGGGACTCCAATTATGAAACGGATCTCAGAGAGAGTAACCTCGGTCGCCTGGAGATCACCACCGAATCCGCAATGGTGTGCTATACACCAATTCGACAATGTGGCTTACCAAGTCTCCTCGACCTGAGCTTATGGGAAGTCCCATTGGATACAATCAACAATACGGGACTTACACACAGTTCCGTTACCAAGAAATTAAGGAGCGAAGTCTATATGTGGCACAATTTGTAAAGCATGGAACATGAATCCGGCATTCAAGGTACTTGCGGCACGAGCAGCCATTGGACTGACGGTTGACCCTACCGACTACAAATCGCGAGTTTTCGGTCAGAAGGTCTTTGCTGCGAGATTGGGCCATTTTCCGACACAGAATCAGCTGTTTTCGGACTTTACGAAGGGGAAACGGTTCGTGTACCGAAAAGGTTGCTAAATTAGGAATGCCGTCGAGACATCAGGAGATCGCACGTAAAGCGAAGGACGGATTGGCGATCTGCAAAAGCGATTTGATGATTGTAACCCATGAAATACACAGCGCAATACCAGGAAAGAATCAATCGAATCCGAGATACTATGGACACGCCGTATATCGAGCCGCAAGATCGAGTCCATGAATATATTGAAGATCACCTGGTATGGAAAGGATCGAAAATCCGACCACTTCTGTTCGAATACACCAGGCATACGAGCTGCTCGAAATCAGAACATCCGGAATCAGTACGAGATGCCTGACAACGGTTGGCCGAAGATCCTCAAAATCGAAACTTGCAACGTGAAGAAAATGACGCACGACACCGTTTGGACGCGATCAAACGTTCACGACAAGGAAAGGTCGCGGTCCACGAACACATCGTTTTACGAGTTCAAGCGGACGAGGACGTACTGCCGGATCAGCTGCACCAGTTGATCGGACTTCCACAGAAATCAGCCGGGCTCAACTGAAACGTCCACCGCGAGACAGAGACGATGGAGATGGGTCGAACGAGATGATGGATCAGCAAAAACCGATCTGATAGGTGTTGTTACGGCTTATGTCGGCATCCCTATATCGACTCATCTTAGTTCAGAGTAGCTACGGTACACTCGGCCGGCTCTCTAAATAAGGCGGAAGAGATGGATTGTGCGACGAGATGAATTTTACCAGGAGGCAAGCTGAGATGAGCTTGAAAGCCGATGAAAAATGGCTAAGTTCCTCCATGACCTATGCTGAATTAACCTTACCAGATGATGTCGCACATCCATGATCAGAAAGATGATCTTACTAGGAGGAAGCGAACTTCGCTTATCTATATGATGTCCCTCCACATTCTAAACCGGATCTCATTATAAAGTCGTACAATTGATACGCACCTATTCCAAAGTTGAGGCAGTATTCCTAAGACGCATTCGATACGCACCTTATTCCTAAAAGCTGATGTGATGAAAGTCGCACGAAGATGCAAAGATGCTCAAGGAGCGATGTTGCCTAAAAATGGAGCGGAATGGGCCAAAGAGACGTGGAAAACGGTGGAGGACCAGTGACCTATGCGAGTCAATGGAGGATCCTAGTCTACATGTTTCATTTAACTGCTTCTGTTGATCTGTTATAACTGTTGATCTGTTTATATGGAATAGTATTTTTCTACAGATCTCTTTAATTCACATTGTGCATTTGGAATTATGTGATAAGAAGGAATAGAGAGAATTTGATGTTGTTTTTGTTTACGAGCGCACAGACCACCGATCGGAGCGAGATGGAATGGAATTAGCTTCGATTTGAGCTCAGCCTCCCACCCAGAGGCATGTGAGGCGATGGTTCTGCGTCCAACCTTTGACGCTACTGAGTTGGGGAGTGCTTCGTTGCACTACGCACTGGGATTCCCATGGAATTACCGTCTGTGGCGTGGCTCTCTTTGATTGGCTGACGGCTGCTGTTCACTGTGTTCACTATGCGCCGTGCAGTT